GTCATATATGATTAAATCTATATTCATATCTTTCCTGTGAATCACGTTTCCAATTTATAATGATATTCATTGGGATACCGTAAATAGAAATTTTACAAGCCGCCGTTGTGGAGGTATTGCTGCACTGTTTCCGACTGTTTCCAATGGAGCTCGATGCACTTTCTGACGTTTTGTAAGAAGAGCAAGCAGTTATAGTCTCAAAAGTTAAAAATCGCAACCTTTATCTTTCTTTTCAGTAGTCTGCAACTGTTTAGAGCCACTGGAGTGACGTGGAGAAGTAGAATTGACAGTTTTAGCCTGTCGGTCCATTATAACTAATGATAGTATACCTCCACAATGGCGGCCTGAAAAAATTTCCATTTACGGTATCCCAATGAATATCATTATAAATCGGCAACTCAATTACATCATTCACAGGAAAGATATGAATACTCCAAGCTATCTTGCTAGCAGAGGTACACAAATGGAAAATTGGCCGCATTTAGCAATTTATTGTGATAGCATCATTAAATATCACTCAAAATGAAAGTAGTGGCTTCCTTATTTCTTTAGTAATGGTAGTATAACGTTTTGAGAGTGACACAAGCCTTGTTGGCAGAGAAATAGCAATGTTAGTGATTTGCCACAATCTTGAAAATAATAACAGAGATTGCGAAAAGTTTTTATACAAAAATGATGTGCCCACATGATCCTGTTGCCTATCTTGGTTACGTTAGTCTATTATATCTCTGGTATTATTAAGTATTTTGTATCCTAGCTGTTGTTATTGTTATTTTTAGTTTCAGCATCAAACTATTGGACAGATTGTGGGTGGGACTAGACATTACCCTTTTGACTTATTTATAGAAACTCGTGAAGAAAGTGAAATTTTTGATAAATACAAAGAAGGAGGTGAATGTGATTTGTTACCATAACAATGCATGTACTTTTATTTGATGGCATAGGTGATGATGTAATATTAATGAATAAGACTGAACACCTCATTACTGCATTAGAAAGACATCCATTACAGAACAAGTTTGTAGAAATTTTATCATTGTTTTATGATTTAAAGTATTACTGTATAGCTGGAAATATTTGCTGGAATTTAATTTTGCTGTTTGCTGTTCATCATAAAAATGCACAATTTAATTCCGCAAAGCATTATAAGTAATGGGTGCATCAACAGTACACGCCTACACCAGCAAAATTAAATTCCACAAACATTAAAATTAGCTATATGGGTATAAAATCGCAAAATATAATTCCCGCAAACTTTTCCAGCTATACGGTATTTGTTGATTAGTATATACATGTATTAGTTTGGATTATAAAAAATAATCTAGCAATAACTTAAATAAGTTTAATTTAACTTTAGTTAGTGTGGCTTAGTTTCTTTTGAAATTATTTTCTCAATTAGGCATGTAATCATGAAAATCACAAATTACTACATGTATATCATGCTATGTTAGTGATTTTATGTTTATTGAAGCGCATGACAGTAATTATGCAATATTGTAGGTTTTATAAAATCAATATCAATATTAGTTCTAATGTCAATCATTTCATCATAAGTATATACTGTAGGTGGGTTTTGTGGTATTTGAAAAATGACAAGCAAAAAGAGTGGAAGGACAATTTAAGAAAGATCATTTGCATCGATACGGTGAGTTTTAGCACTGTAATTTTAGTTAGTTAGTGTGTGTGTGTGTGAGAGTGTGAGTCATGTTTCTTCAGTTATACTAATAATACTGTAGGTTATTAATGTGAAGTACTTGGACTATTGTTTCAATTAAAATTTTTTGTTTAATTATTTCTTTTGAATGCATGACTTATTTTGGTAATGTACTGATGTTACTTTTCACTCTCTGCTTACATAGCTTGTACTAATGTCACTGGCTGAGTTGAGTATTACAGGGCAACCATTTATTTTGGCACTTTATTTTTTGCTGGCCTCACCCAGCTTTGCGTAGGCGAGGACTAGGTACTTTGGTTGTCTGTCTGTCTGCCATTCTTGGTTTTGTTTTTTTGGTTTAACTTGAAAACCATTAGCTCTAAATCTGTGAGGCTTTTTGTATGTTTTATATTTGAACCTACAGTATATACTTTATGATTATGAACATATCCATCAATATTAATGATATAATTTTAGTGATCTTGCTTTTGTACAACTTCCTCTGAATTTAGCTGCTGCATACACATTTATATATAAGTGTTAAACTCTGTTTTAAAAATCATAAAAATGGATGTAATCTTGAAAAACTAACTTCAATCCTACATACCTAGGCTACTGCATAATAGGACATTATGTTAATTTGTTATCTTAGGTTAATTTTGAACATAATTTGCATGCAAACATTTTGTATAGGTTATTTGTTATAATTTTTATCATAATTTGACACTAGCAACCATAATTCCATCACAGTGTAATATTGCAATTATAGTCATGGTGGTATAAATCGAAAGTTTATTGTGAAATTATTATTTCATTACAAGCATTATATGTATTAATTGTACCCCCAATTTTATTTTTTATTTACTAGGTTGAAGAATTTTGGTCGTAAGTTGCATGAGTTTTGAAATTGTAATGTGTGTGATCCTCAATCGTGTAGTGTGTACAATCATATCAAGCCACCAAGCCAACTTAGCAGTGGATGTGACTACATGCTATTTAAGGTAAATAAGTGTTTTTGACATGCAAACATTAACCTTTTAATAGGAAGGTATTGAACCAATGTGGCATGACAAAACAAACAAAAATGGTGGTAGGTGGTTGTTAAATATTGATAAAAGAGACAGAAAATATGGGGTTTTAGACAATATTTGGAAGGAAACAGTAAAGTCTGCAGAAAAATTGGAAATAATGTTTATTTTGTTGCTTTCTGTAGTTATTATGCTTAATTGGGGAAATTTTTGATGACAGTAGTGATGATATATGTGGAGCTGTGGTACAAAATAGAATAAAAGGAGACAGAATATCTCTTTGGACTAAAGCTGCTAAAAATAAAGAGCATGTTCACAGAATAGGGTACGTTATAATTTTTTTAATTTTAAAGTTATTGTTTCTGGAATAGTCATGTATATAAAGAGAAGGTACAGATGCACATTCTTGGACAATTTACAATACAATACCAGGTAGAGATCATTGAGTTTGTTTATATATTATGTCCTTCACTTAGTCACATCTTGATGTCGCAAATAAGACAGGGTTTAGCAGTAGAACACTATTTACTATATAACCTGGCCACACATTGATAGGAGCTAATTAAGACAATAATTAGAGTCACATTTTATGGTCTATTATTGTATTGCAATATACTTGATATAATTTTGGTTGGAAAAAGCTATTGTAAATTGCATTACAGAAACAATTGCACTGCACTAAGATATAAAAGCATGCATGCATATGTTAAAATTAATAAGTGAAACAAGTCCACACCGTTGGGTTTGTCTGAGTCACTAATGTCTTGTAGTCATCTAACAGTATAAAAAAGATAAAGGAGAAAAAGAAAGAAAGATGGGAATGATTTTAAGTGAAAGAGAAAATTACAGCAAGAATAACAATGACTAGGACATAATTCAAAAAATTATATAGTGTAGGGTTGAACCTACAAATTGAATTCAAACAAGCTTCTGCAGGGTTGATCCTGTAAAATGAATTCAAACAAGCCCCTGTGACACCACCACATGTACAATCAGTTAATGGTCCGTAATGTATTACCTGTATTGTATTCATCAGTATATCTAGGCTGTTGTGATCAGTTAATGAATATCTACAAAAATTATTTACTTTGCATTTTTCATAAATACAATGTCAGTGTCCACTAAATTTGTAATCACTTGCAGAAAAAATTAACAAGGGTAATATTCCTACAAAAGCTAGAATTCATCACTTTACATGCATATAGCTTTCACTAAGACTTGTAGGGGTTAGGGTTTCCCACAAAGCATGCTATGTGCGAGCTGAACAGCATGCTTCATGAGCTGATGAGCACTGCAATACAGTACATGGCATTTTGAAGCAACTTTAAAAATTCACAAAATATACAAGGTCCTGAAGATAGTGTGGAATCAGCTTGAATCACTTGATGCGCATTGAATTTGCATTAGTTCTAAACCAGTTCAAGCCACATTGCAAGTGTAGAAAGGCCTTAAATCTAGTTTATGACTAGATCTAGACATATTTATTAATTAATTATTCATTTTTTTTTGTGTTATTTCATTTCATTTCATTTTAGATCTATACCGCTTTTATTTCAACCAGCTACCTCATTTCTGGAATGAGCTAATAGACCAAGGTGATATACTTGATTGCTCCTTGCCCTCAACTAAGAGACGATTGGTAAATCTAATGTTGCAGACCTTTCTATTCAAATTTGGCTCCACAAATTTTTACACATTTCACTTTTATGTTCATGCAGTAGGTGTATCAAATCATTCCTGTAATTTTAAACTTAGTTTGTAGCTCTTAAATTCAATAAAATTCCTTTTAGTTTTGTTTTATTTTTGGGAATCTGTGTTTTATTATAGTTTCTCCTACAGTACTGTCTAGTCTTTTGTGTTTTATTTTTCTAGATGTGTGTTGTAAAGTTCATTAATAATAATAATAATTATTGATTTGTTTTATTGCTCCTCTTTTTGTCTAACTTACTAAAAATAATGAGAATAGTAAAAAAAATAATAACTAAAAAAATATGACAGTATTAACATGACTATAGTAGATCTAGAGACATACAGCAGCGGCAACAAAAATTGTAAATCTAATAATGAATTAAAATTCTACTTCTACAGTCCACAGCTCTAGATCTACCTCCACCTCTAGATATTCGGTAGATTTTTTAGGTCTACTGGATGATCCAGTAGATTTAATGGATGACTGGGGATGTAATTTTTGTGGTTTTTTTATGTGTGATGATTTCTGTCTCACAGCAGACACTGTAGGTTTACGCTCTAATGTTTGTCTTCTACGTTTTCTTGACCTAGTATCTGTAGCTGCTGGGAAAGATTGAGAACGATGGAATTTATGTACTGGTTTGGCTTGTGGAAAATGCTGACTTGAAGTAGATCTAATTGGTTCTTCAATCTGTAAATAAAAAGTTGTGATTTACTTCTATTATAAAGGCACTTACTTTAAAAGGAACATCATGATAGGATCCCTGATACCAGATTGAACTTATAGTAAGCTGAACATTTCCATCAATGATGATGTCTGCTAAATCTTGAGCTTGCTCAAATTTTAGAGGAAAAA